TATAACTCCCGGGACAGATGAAAAGGCAGCTATGACACACAATTTATGTGCTCTGGCTGCTGAAGTTTGTAAGGGAAAAATAGGCAGAATAAGTGGGTCTTTGAGTTGGGTATGTTCAAAGCTGCTGAACGATGCGGTGGCTAAAATCACCCGCTTCCTTGGAAGAAAAAAAGGCTTTGCAAAGATTAATGGTGGAGGTCACGCAAATCAATGCACTAAACGATGCCCTCTCTCCAAAAAGCACAAGGGAGAGGAAGCATCCAGATGCCTCCACGGAAAGCACGCACTCGGCGTTGAGCTTGCTGCCTGTATTCCTCCCCGTCCTTCCTGGTGTCCTTTTATGATCTTCCTCGCATCAGGATGCAGGTTGCTGGTTTCAGGGAGCAGCTCTGCCACGTTTGTTTGTGTGTTTGTAGCTCAGGGTGGAAGTCTTGTGCTCTGGGGAGGGCTGAAGCAGAAAACATGTGAGCTGAGCACATGACAGGGTTCAATCCTTTGGGGCATGGAGAGCATTGGAAGACTTACAGACAGGCAGAGCTGTGGACTGGAAATGAGTGACACAATTCAAGGAGTTCAGCCCAGATCTACCATCTGAGTGTGAGTGAATGGTGGTCTGTGTGTGCCCTTCACTGCCCCAGCTTGTGCAGACACCAAGGGCAGTGGTCCTATGTGCCAGGCAGAGGTCTTGCTCCTGGATTTGTGCCTGTGGCATGTCCCCTGCCATATGGATTTGTGCCTGTGGCATGTCCCCTGCCATACAGCAGTGTCCCCTGCCATACAGTGGGGCAGTCACAAGCACCTCCCCTCTGTCCTTGCTGGATCCAGCTCCATCTGAATGAAGGGACCTAAGCTGAGAAATGCAGGTCAGTGAAGGCTCCAAGGGTGTTGCTGCTCTAGGGCTGCAGTGGGGCTGTCCCCATGGGGATGGCAGGGTGGAGTGGTGCTGGGAGCAAGCAGCACTGCCCCAGGTAAGCAGAGACTGGAGGAACCCCTTGAGATGGAGCTGAGGTGCTGTGGGACTTGTCCTCCTTTGGGAACGAAGGGGCTGAGAAAGGCTGGCACAGCAGCAGGAGGAGAAGGAATGAGGCTGGAGGCTGCCTGGGTATGTCCTTGTTCTGCTGTTTGGGGGGGGATGCAGTCACTGTTTATTTATGCTGTAAAAACCTGCATTGTAGCTCTTTGAAACATGTCTTGGTGCTACTGGAGAGGAGGGAGTCAGGAATGTGAATGGCTTACTATTTTTTTCCCCCTCTCATTATCTTATTGCCAAGGTAGCAGAGAATGAGTGAATTCTCTCTTAAACCCAAATCAGGAATTTTTCTCCTCCAAATGTTACCCATTTGTTTCATGCCTCTCATGGGGCTGATTTCAAAACGAAATTGTTGTAACCGTGAGCATAAAATAAATTGTAGGCTCTACCTGGCCTTGGCTGCTCCAGCAGGAGTTTCCAGCACAGCCCTGCCAGCTGGGGAAGGGCTTTCTCCCCCCACCTCACGTGCAGCCAGCCAGCACAAAGCAGAGCTGCACGAAGCTTTCTGCCTGGTAGCTTACAAAGGAGAGGATGCGTATTTAGGAAATGACAAAGGAAATAGTAAGCGTGTATTAATGGAGTGATTTATAACACTTTCAGCTTAAAAAAAAAAAAAAAAGAAAGAAAGAAAAAAGAAAACAACTGCACTGTTAAAGGATAAAGACACTGCCTGAGGACTCGCATGCTGGCTGGGAATTTTGCATCCTCTAGGTTGCATCAGGGATGGGAAGTGATGGCTGATGGATACAAACCCAGAGAGCAGGTTAAACTGGAGTGGTACAAGGGCACTGGGTGATGGGCAGCAAGAGGAACAGCTGCAGGAGGGAACAGCAGGGTCACAGGAGGGTGCAGAGGGCTGCCCTTGGTGCCCCATGATGGCCGGAGGAAGTGTGGAGGACAGTGTGTTCCCACAGCTGTTAGAAATCTAAGAACATGGCTCTGCAAACAGCACAGAGGGCAAAAGGAGTGGAGAGGCTTGGAAGTCAGGAGGGACAGCAAAGGAGAGGGCATGGACCCTTGGGCTCGTGCTGAGAGCTGTGGGATATTTGGGAGAGATGGTGAGCCTGCTGTGGGAAATTGGGCCAGAGTAGAGGACCTGGTGGGAAAAGCCCACCATGAGTCGGGCATGGCAAGAGGTGAATCCCTGCACAGCAAAGGACAGGCTTGAGCCAGGGCAAGCGTGAGGCAAAGCCTTATCAAAGTCCCCAGGGCTTCTTCTGCTGGTGCAGTCCTATCAGCCCTCCCACCACGTTGGTGTGGCATGGCTTGGGGTGACCTTCAGAGCAGCAGGACACCCAGCTGTCAGCACTGCTTCGCCTCTCTGAAACTGCTCTTTGTACCTCAGCTGCTTCAGATCAGGGCAAAAAGAAAAAAAAAAAAAATCTGCAGAGTACTGCATTTGGAAGTTTTCGTTTGTAACATGCTAATTGCCCTCATTATTATGGTTCCTGGAGGCACCTCGTATCCTTATTACAGCAGCTGCAGTCGTGCAGGGGTGAGATGTGGTTTGCTGCTCCCTCTGGTCGCTGCGTCCTTGGTTGAGTGACAGGTCTCAGCCACAAGCACTGCAAGGAGAAGGTCTGGTGAGCTGCTGGCAGGCTCACGGGCAGCCTTTGTGTCTGTCTGCTGGTTTTGTTGCTTCTGCATTACTTCCCGGCGTATTTTATGATGCTCCACAGGCTGCTGCCTGTTGCCAGTCCCACTGGCACCACAGGAGGAAACCAGGAAGGATGCTGTGGTGTTGAACAGCTCAGTGCCAAATGCCCACCCCAAACCCTTACACTCTTGCTGCAGTCCTCCCAAGATGATGAGCTAAGCAAGCATCTGGTGTAGCTCATTACTACAGTGGTGCACGTGAACTGTTAAATACCCAAACCCAGGAGAAACACCTCCCTGCAGCTGGGAGGTCTTATTTATGCCCTCTTCTCATCCTGAGCACTGTAGGCAGCCCTTCATTAGGCACATGAAGATAACTTCCAATTCAGGCATGACCTTCTCCTCTTGTGCACCAAGCATGGCGGGACTCTGCTTGCCCAATCCCTGCTCTTTCCATCAGACTCCATGTCAGGGCACAGGAAAGCAACAGAAGTGCCGCTTTCTGACAGCTGCCTCCCCGGGCTTCCCTGTACCAAGGCACCTCAAGTCATGCCTTCTTCATTCAGGGTAACTTCATGTAGGAGCAGGGGAGCAGGAATCATCTTCAGTCCCTGCTGATGGGAAGTAATGGATGTGGAAATGCTAACGCAGAGTCCCTGCGGGCCTTGTCGTGCTGAAGGCTCCAGGCTGCCTCAGCACTGACAGACGCCTCAGACATGCTTCTCCCTTTGAGAAGGGGTGCGACCTCCCCGTGTTTCACATTTTACAGTGACATCCTTCAGACAGACGCCTGTGGAGCTGACAGACGTGGCAAAGTGGCTTGAAGCTCTTTAGGAAAGCAACTACAGTCCCGCTCCGCTTCTGTGAGAGCCCAACAGATGCGGGGCTGCTGATCCTGGCGGAGCAGAGATGGCTGCTCTTGTAGGATGTCTGCAACTGCACAGGGCTGCCCTGCTGTGGGACCAGCCCTGGCCGTGCTTCAAACCACCTTGGGTATGGCAGGAAGGCAACAAGTCAGGTCCCCATGGGCAGCTCCTTTGCACCACATCTGTGGCACTGTGCTGTGGGCAACTTGTGCCCAGTCCCACTGTGGATGATCCAAGGGGAATAGCATCGTTTAGACCTTCAGAGCAGGAGGATTTCCTTTTGTTTCTGCCACCTTTGCAGCGGCTGCCGAAATATATTTCTTTGTCCTTCCTGCTGGGAGCTGTTTGAGATCTCCTGCCACCCGGCCCTGGGTGAAGCTTGTTCCCTGCAAGACTGAGAAGCATGGAGCAGCTGTGCAGAGAGCTCCTGGAGCGCTGCACATAACCGCGTTTGTGTTTTAATTGCAGCCCTGCCAATGCTTGGGAGCTGTCAGCGATGTGAATTAAGCTGTCATTCTCCCAGGATCACGATGCAGAGAGCAGCACTACCACGGCTGTCTGCTGCCCCTGCCTGGCACAGCAGCAGCTGACACCCATTCCTGCCTGGCACAGCAGCAGGTGAAACCCATCCCTGTTTGGCACGGCAGTGGGTGACACCGGTCCCTGCAGGACGTGGCAGTGGGTGACACCCATCCCTGTCTGACACAGCAGTGTGTGGCACTGCTCCCTGCCTGGCATGGCAACGTGTGAATCCTGTCCCTGTCCCAGCAGATGCCTCCCTCTGCCCGGCTGGGTTGGAGGTGGCTGACTCCATGCATGCAGCACCATGCTTTTCCATCAGCAGGCCAGCCCCTCCGAGCCCTGCAGGAGCACCCAGTGAGCTGTTAATCCAGGCATATGCTGTGCTTCCAGTTATATTGGCTGGGGATGCTGATACTGCAGGGCCTGGGGATGCTCCCTGATCTCTGCTGTGCTCCTGGGCTGCAGACAGACGCTGCCCAGCCTCCCCTGCTCTGCTCCGTGGGGCAGGCACTCAATCTGGGGCTGCAGAGCCGCACCAAGCCGAGGCAGGGAGCTTCCACCTGTGAACCGAGGTGGGAATTTTCAGTAAATTAAAAAACAGAACTCCAGTGCTGCAGGAGTGTATTGGTGGGACACTGCTGCGCCCAGTCGAGCACGGCCTGAAGGCGAAGCCGGCAGGAGAGCGAAGCCCACAACAACTGGGGTTGCTCGGGAAGCCGTCATGTACCACCAGCCCCCACCTCGCCCCATGCAGGGCCGGCAGCTCGCCCAGCTCCCACCGCACGCCTCCAAGATACCCGCACGACCGCCGCGCACGCGCATACCGCCCGGCGCGCGCCCTCACCCGCGCAGGCGCAGTAGGGCCGCACAGACACGGGGCGCCACGCGCATGCGGCTTCTCTGGGAGAACCGCGCATGCGCGCTGCCTCCCTGACGCAAGCTCGCTGCAATCGCCCTGCGCTTTATCCTGTCCGACCTTGAGTGCGCGGCCGCTCTCAGGACCCGAGCTGCCCGCTGCTGTGCCGGTGTGCAGCGGGCTACAACGGCTCTCGTGCCTCCGTCAGGTGTTGCCGACAGAACTCGCTTTTTCCCTCGCAGACTTTCGTCTGCAGCGTACGGCTTGGCGCGGCCGTCGGCCCCAAAGCAGCGTCCTGAAAGCGAGCGATAGGAGCAGGCGGCGTCGCGGGCAGCCCACGCCGGGGGTCCTGCGGCGATCGCTCCCCCCCGCAGCCCACGTGGGTAGAGGCTTCCAGAAGAGCCGCGGCACCTCACGCCCCGTCCTTCGCCGCTCCGCCATGATCAGCGCCAGCCGTGCCGCCGCGCGCCTCCCCCTGCTGCTGCCGCGGGGCGGCCCCGGGCCCGCCGTCCCTGGGCTGGCGCAGGTCCGTGTGGGGCCTGGGGGGGCCGGGCGGGCGCGGCGCGGCCTGGGCGGGGATCTGCTGGTGGAGAGCGGGGCTGGGGGGGGGGGTTCCACGGCGAATTTCTGCTTGGTTTGCTTTTAAGGTTTAAAAAGGGAAGCGCGGTGTTGCGGTAGGAGTGCGTTATTTTAGGAGCTGCCATCCTCTGGATGTTGTAGAGTGGAGGTTTCTGAGCGTTCCTCTTTGTTTTGTAGACTTTCTGGAATGGCCTCAGTCAGAATGTCCTCAGAGCGGCAGCGAGCAGGAAATATGCGTAAGTGTCACCCTGCATATCCGTGTCTCTGTGCTCGGTGTTTCTTCTCGTTGCCCCGAGCTCAAAACTGAGGTGGTGGAGCAGCAAAACCAGCGAGGTGGTACCAGAACGTGTGCAGTTTTAAGGCTGCAGCTTTCTGTTTTCTCATCTTTTTTTTCTGGTGGAACTTTTGTCATCATCTTCCCTGCCCCCACCACCAGCAGCACTCACAAGATGCACGTTTCTGAGATGTATGTGATGAAAAGGATAAAATGTAACAGCTGGAACAAATTGCTTTATGCTCCTGTGAAGGCAAGATGATGTGTGTAGATCTCACTGCAGATAAGCTTATTTCAAACAGTCTGTGTGTGTTAATTGCTTGCTTTTTTACAAGATAATGAGTAAAGAATAGCAGTTGTGTAACTCAGTCAGGTGTCTTGTGGGCAGTGCTGACTCGTGACACAGAATGGGAGATCTGTTTATGTCAGGAAGACTGCCCAGCTCTGATCAGTACGAAGAAACTGAGCTGTTGTGTGTTTTCAATATCACTGCTTTGTGCTGTGTGAGCTGTGGTTAGGGCAACCAAACACCTTGGGGAGTGAGCAGGCAATGCCCTGGTAATAACCAGCCCCACTGATGTGTGCTGCTGCGTGCTTTTCACCCCAGAACATGGCTTTGTTTATAAAGGAGAGCTGTTGAGTCAAGGGTTCTCTCTAGCCTTAAAGGTGGTAATGCACCCTTCCTAGCAAGAAGAGGCAGGTTCAAGTTTGCCTTGTGTGAGAATCATTATAATTTTTCAGAATTAATTTGTTGCTTTTCAGGGTCAAAAAGATGGTTATTTTTTACTCTGCCTCACAGGATCCTGCTTGGGCTTAGCTAATTCTGCCTTTATGTATTTTTCACTTCATGCTAAGCAAACATAAATGAACTCATCCGATTTACTTGCATCTTGACTCCAGGTAGATGCTTAACAAGTTTGAGTATGGAAAATCAAAAGTAACCCTAAACAAGTCCAGGAGACTTCATGTGAGAAGAGCCAGAATTAATTGCAACTTATTTTACATCTAAATCTTAATGGATGTTGGGAACACACATCGCCAAGATTTTCTTGGTGAAAGAATAGCATTTTATGTACTTAAACAAATAAGTGCAAGTTGAGCTGTTAGTGACCTGATTGAATAGAGAAGTTTAAAATCCTGCATAAAAGTCAGAGGGTGTGTTATGGTCTGATAGAACATGGGTTTGCTTCAATGTCTGGTCAAAAATGAGTTCATCCTGTCTTCACAACAGAAAGGTGGTTGTTATTTAATTAGCTGCCTTCCTTTAGTAGTAAGGCTGTTTATCCTGTAATGTTCTTTACAGCTCAGAAGCAATTAAGGGTGCCGTTATTGGAATCGATTTGGGTACAACAAACTCCTGTGTGGCTGTTATGGAAGGTAAACAAGCCAAAGTAAGTAAGAGCAAATAAATAAGTACCATCTTCATATCTGAATTAGTGTTTTCAGAGGCAGTGTTTTCTGATGGTGTCCTCTTGTGGTTTTTACATAGGTGCTGGAGAACTCTGAAGGTGCCAGGACAACGCCTTCGGTTGTTGCCTTCACAGCTGATGGTGAGCGTTTGGTCGGAATGCCAGCCAAGAGGCAGGCAGTAACTAATCCTCATAACACCTTCTATGCTACCAAGCGGCTCATCGGGCGGCGCTTTGATGACTCTGAAGTGAAGAAGGATATGTAAGTGAGGGGGGAGGGCAGTTCCACCTGCAGCACAAAAGAGAAAGTACAGTACTGTGTAATGTGACCAAACATAGCCCTTGTTTGGGTGAGGTGGTGTGAGTAGTGGCTGGGTGAGAAGGTAGTTGTGCCCTCATGTCTCAAAGCTTTACTGCTTATTTCCTGAAGGCTGTGCTGTATTTTTATTTTAACATTTTGGGAGAAGTAATCAAGTGGAACACCACCTGAACTTTCTCCCCCAGGCACTGTGCTGGGCAGACTAGCAAAGAGACTTTGCATTCTTGAGAGTATTTGGAATCAGTGGTCTGTGATTGTGCCTAAGGCTTCTGATTAAATACTGTAGTTGAATAAGAACAGAAGTATATTGGTACTTCTGGGATACCCTGGACCTGAATAATTCAGTATTCTATGTCTAGAACTTGCATGTGTTGTTCTGGTGGTGCTTATTGTGTCTTCATGCTGTTTCTGTTGATACAGAAATTCCATATGGAATTATTGTTTTTTCTGTATTTTTTTCAGTAAAAATGTTCCATTTAAAATTGTCCGTGCCTCCAATGGTGATGCCTGGGTAGAGGCCCATGGGAAGCTGTATTCTCCAAGCCAAATCGGTGCCTTTGTACTAATGAAGATGAAGGAGACTGCAGGTTGGTACAGTTTAATCTTTGCTATGCATAAACACAAGTGTGAGCCCAGTACTGTGGGTGCTGGTAACTGGCTGTGCTGTAACCATAAGGAAACTTCTTTGACATGGGAATTCTTGCATAGCAAGATGGGCAGTTATAAAGCCTCAAGGAGGTCAGTGTGTCTGCTTCAGTCTTTGGAAGATATCAGTGCTTTGCATTATGTCAAAATGGAATACCAGTTGTTGTGTTTTTATTTTAAATTGAATTGAACATAGCACCCTTGCTTCAGAAGGGGGAGCTCCCTTTCCATGCAGACTTCTAGTCCTTGTATCTCCAAGGCTGCAGCTCAGCATGGGCTGTGGCTGCAAGTTGGCTTGGGCCAGAAGTGTAGTGAGAGGAAATCCTCAAGAGACCTGTTGTACTGGCAGGGAAAAATGTCCTTTCACCTGGAAATTTTTTTTCTCCCTTTTCAATTCCTAATATGGTTTCTGGCATAATTGTGTAAAAGAATAAAAAAAAAAATGTAGCTGACTTCTGCAGTCTGGTCTGGAAAGTATGAAGTGTTTGGAGGGCTGGACTGAAGCTTGTTGCTGAAGCTTCATCCATCCACGTGTGTGTGTGAGAGAGAGAGAGAATGAGTTCCTGGGCATTTAGTGAAGTTGCCTAGAGAAAAATAGGAATATGTCTTATGTGAGGATTTAGATGTGATGAATCTGACTTCTGTCTTCAGAGGACATTATTCCCCTGCTTTCAGCAGGAGGCTGCTCCCTCTGTTGGCTTTTTCCCTGGATGCTGCATGAATTCAAATGACAAGTTATCTGGTGTAAGGTCTGCTTAGGGTTAATGGATAGGTAAAAATCCTGCCTGTGAATTCTCACTGGATCATGCATGCTTTTAGATCTGAATCTGCATTTGATGATACTGTACTGTTTTCTTAAGAGAGAATTGCACCCTTAGATTGGGATGTGTTACGTATTTATCTAATTTACTGTCTCACATGCTTGTGAGCATGTAGTGTATGGATGTTGTTTATACTGTATAAATGTTACCTACAATGGACTGTACAATAAGGACAAATATGAGTTCTAAGTGCTTTGCATATTAAATACTCCAATGAAACAGAAAACAGCCTTGGTCTTGCACTCTAAAAAGGCAAATTGAGCTCAAATTCTCATTCTTCAGTGGCATCAGTTATTGTCTGAAGTGCAGAGGTGCATTGCTGATAGAAATCCACACACTGCTTCATGTAATGGGGAAAGGCTTGGTTACCGCAAAGCGCTCTCTGCATCTTCCCAGAAAGCAGCAGATTCTTGATCAGGAAGCCTGTGTTCTGTTGTCAGTTCAGGAATATGATTTCAAACGAAGTGGCAGTGTTGATGGTATTCTTTTCACTTTAAAAATAACTGTTTTGTCTCTTTTTTCCTCCAGAAAACTACCTGGGGCACCCAGCAAAGAATGCTGTGATTACAGTTCCTGCTTATTTCAATGATTCTCAGAGACAGGTATTCAGCAAGCTCTAAGATTTTCAGGCTTATAACTGTATATAGTATCATTTCTAAGTGCTTTTTCTTTTTTTCCTTCTTCCTCTCCCACATTAGGCTACGAAAGATGCTGGGCAGATCTCTGGCCTAAATGTTTTAAGGGTGATTAATGAACCAACTGCAGCTGCTCTTGCCTATGGTCTGGATAAGTCTGAAGACAAAATGTAAGTGGCTGTTTGTAACACCTTCTTCAATTAAATCAGCATGCTGTAATTTGTTTTGTGAATGCATCTTTATTTTTTTATCTTAATTGCTGGTTGGAATTCTGCCAAAGTAGACTCTCGGAAATGAATTGTGCTATGTAATGTCACCTGTATCCCATGCAGACTCTACTTGGTTAAGGAAGTTCATAACGTGCAGCTACAACTTAATGATCAAAGCTGAGTGTCACTGGAATTATTTTACCTGCTGGTGGGGGTGGTAGGTGTGGCTCAGGACAGCTGTGTGAGAGGCTGTGCCCAGTGGGGCCAGAGCAGTGTCATAAGAGAGATGCTGAGGTTTGGTGTCTTCTATCCACAGACTGTTTCTTTCCATGTCTGTATTCAGCCTTCTAACTCTTCCAAGGGTGATTACATAAATGCAGGGTTGTTTTTTTTTTTGTAACTGATTTTGTATTTGTGTTGGGATTATAGTGGTATGAAAGCCTCATGTACTGCAGAACATATTTCTTGATGGTTCAAGTGTCTTTGCCTTCCATACTAGATGGGAGTGTGCCTTTTTTGACAAAGAAGAGCTGTCCTCTGAAATAACTGGCAAGGTTATGTGCCATCATTCCATAGCATGTTCTGCAGCAAAAACTTCTACCCAGGCTCGGTGCACTCAAAGAATGTGCATGCTGTGATCTGCTTATTGTTATCTTTAGAGAAGGCTTTTAACTTCTGTAGACAGCAACATGAGTTCTGCACACTTCATTTCCTGGTGGGAATGATTTCTGAGCCACACTATTTTGTCTAGAAAGTAATATTTTTCTCCATCTGTTCTTGTAGCATTGCAGTTTATGACTTGGGTGGTGGCACTTTTGATATTTCCATTTTGGAAATCCAGAAAGGAGTCTTTGAGGTGAAGTCAACCAATGGTGATACTTTCTTAGGTGGAGAAGATTTTGACCAGGCTTTACTACAGTATATTGTTAAAGAATTCAAGAGAGAGGTAAGACATCTCATCAGAATTCAACCTTGCATTATGTTGTCTTCTAACATCACTTAGTTGGTATGTAAAGATGGGAATTTTCATAAAATGTTAGAACTTCATTTGGGATCTGTGGTACAATTGAAATTTAAGAAATATTGAAGACACCTGTAAGAACAAGAAGTCAGGCTAACATTTATTTTCTTGAGGCTGAATGTTACTCCCCTGGAAGACAGATGAAACAATAGGACTTCTGCTTTTTTTCTCCTAATGTAGAAGGACTATTTAGCCTGGGGAAGAGAAGACAGAGGATCTGATCAATGCTTATAAATATCTAAAGGGCAGGTGTCAAGCAGATAGGGCCATGGGTTTTTTTGCTGGCAGCTTGTGAGAGGAGCTGGGTCAACTGGCACAAGCTGGGATGCAGGAATTTCCATTTGAACGTGAGGAAAAACTTTCTGTGAGGGTGATGGAGCACAACAGGCTGCCCAGAAGGGGGTTATGGAGTCTCTTTCTCTGGAGATGCTTAAAACCCACCTGGACACTTTCTTCTGCAGTTTACTGTATGGAGCCTACTTTATCAGAGTGCTGGACTAGATGATCCCCAGAAGTCACTTTAGACCCCTGTGATTCTGTGGTTCTTTAATTATCCTATATTTAGTCTGCTTACTTTTACTAATATGGTTCTGTGGACTGATTGAATGTGTCAGCACAGATGCATACAGCACATTGTTGGCTGTGGAGAAATTGCAGTGTAATTCCAACTCCATTGCGAATCCTTGCCTCTGTATTCTGTGATGCAGCAGCTTTTCTAGCCTTTTATCAGTAACTTACTAGATAATCTCTTCCAGAGCAGAGAGGGCTAGCAGACATTTTTGGAATTCTAAAGAAGTTTGCCAGTTGAGATACCAGCAGAACGTGCCAGGCTGTATTTAGACATTTTTGCAGTCAAGTGTGATTAAAAAATATGAACTGCAATGAAGGAAAGCTCTTCATGGCTCGCTGCTAACTTAATTTTTTTTTTTTGTTGCTTAGACAGGTGTTGACCTGACTAAAGACAACATGGCCCTTCAGAGGGTGAGAGAAGCATCAGAGAAAGCAAAGTGTGAGCTTTCTTCATCTGTGCAGGTAGGTGGCTGGGTTCAAAGCAGACCATCAAAATGTTTTACTGGACTGTTCTGCATTATTTTTGTTCTGTAACTCTGAAGTAGCTGCTTTTCTATTGTGCTAACAGAGAAACTTCAGTCAAGTCTCATCAGTGTAACTGAAAATTCTTAGGTAGGATAATCTGAGTCTATTTAGGAGCAAAATCAGTTGTTGGAAGCAGAGAGTGATCACAGATACTGGATTTTGCTTGTGTTCTGCTACTGTGTTTTTTCAACTTGTAGGGAATGTGACTTTGTTCCCAATTTACACATTTCAGAAGTGTGATGAGAATTTACCTGCAGTTAGTACTGCTGTGTTATTGGAAGTACTTGGGACTTTGTGTGAGCAGTTCCAAAATCTTGTGATAGTATTCACACCACTGCACTAATAACAAGAAACAATTTCTATGAAGAATCTTACTCCCCAGCGAAGGGGTTATCTAGTGAATAAGCAGCCTACATGCCTTTTTCACCCATTTTGTATCTTAATGTATTCAAGCACATCCATTATTCACTGTTGAGTAAGAAGCTGTAGAGGCAGTAAGCTAAGGGCGTAATATTCTTGCTGAAGTGAAATTAAGGTCAGTTATATAGTAATTGAAATGAGGATTCTGCCAGTTTCTAGGTTCTGAATAAATTTTGTTTGTTGGCTGGTGGGAAGCTCATAGCACAGGGTTCAGACCAGTCACAATGGTTGTATAGTTCTGCCAGAGACATAGCAGGCTCTGTGTTAGCAAGCTCAAGAGCTGGCAAATACAGTCTGTGCATACTGGAAAAAAACCCAGAATCTTCAGTGCTGAAGGGAAGGCAGCTTCTTTTTGAGCCTGTCCTCCCTATTTGAGCACGCTATTTACAAAGTAAAATAGCATGTAAAAAAGATGGATTTTTTTAAAATCCAAGATGCAGGTTTGCTATGCACAAATGACAATAAGAGGGTTTATGGCCCCTGGTGCTGATGACCTTTGTGTTAAGTAGCAATGAACTGGATCTCAGACAAGATGGTGGGTTACTTCTATTAAGTAGCTTACCACATATGAATTGTTAGGTAGTTGTTTGGCCAAATCTTTCTGAAGATAAAATTTTGGGTTGTGCTGAGAAGGAGTTACAGTCATAACTTTGTTTCAGCTCTTACTTCTTAGCTGTGATAGAGATTAAATACTGGTGCTTACAACCTCTGTTGCAAAGGTGCCTCCATCTTCGTTACTTCCTTTCCAACACTGACAAATGGTGTGCCATAAGCCAGTGTTGCCCAGGCTGTGAACAGCAGGAGCACCTTTTCTTCTTAACAATGTAAGACTTCAAGTAACACTGGATAAAATTAAAATGGATACTTTTTTTTACTATGAAATTCTTTTGTATCTCTTGTGTGAAATGTGAAACACAAACTTATCTGCCACCACTTAAAGACCAGGCTTTAGAATGAGCATGCACATAGATGCTTCAGTACAGGCAGAACAGAACCTGTAGCTTGATCTGAAATCTGTGGGGAGTTGCCTGGCTTTCCATTCCTGCTTTTCACACTGTTTTTGTGGTGCAGACGGATATTAACTTGCCATACCTTACTATGGATGCCTCTGGACCAAAGCACTTGAACATGAAACTGAGTCGCTCGCAGTTTGAGGGCATTGTAGCAGATCTGATCAAAAGGACAGTAGCACCATGCCAGAAAGCCATGCAGGATGCTGAAGTCAGCAAGAGTGACATTGGTGAAGTTATCCTCGTCGGTGGCATGACCAGAATGCCAAAGGTAAGAGCTGTCCTGCCCCAGACACAACTGGAACAGCTTCTCACTGTTTACTGTTAAGGGTGATCTGTAGTGGAAAAGCTGGGAGTCTGCTAACCTCATAGCTCCAGTAGCTGAATACCCCAGGAGCAGATGTGCCAAATGGCCAAATGAAAGGAGTGATGAGGCACTCCTCCTGCTGCTCAGCGTGGGTCTGAGGGCTGTAGCTGAGTTGCAGTTTAAAAAGACAAGTGGGAGAAGTATTGGGAACTGAAAATTCAGCTTGATTTTCTGTTGTTGACTGAACATATGAGATATTGGTGAGATGTACAGAATGTTTTCTCCTGTCTACCTTCATCACACACCGAATTCCACTTCAATAACAGCTGCTTGGTAGTCTTTGCTTTCCAGTAGCTTTCTTCACCTGTGCAGGGCATATGCAGTGGGCAATGAAGAAACAGCACCAGCACAACTTTTGTTACCTGCTGGCTGTGTGTGTTCGTCTGCTTGCTGTACTGGCTGTTGTCAAGCATATTTACTTGTCTGTTCTGAACACTCATTACCTAACACCTGGCCCTGGTGTTGTGGTGTTAAGCTCCAAGTAACTTAGAGGCTTGCTGTGCTGACATGTACTGTCTTGCAGATAAGGCACTGCCTTCTGGTAATGTACTGTTTTTGTTCAGAGCAATGCAGACTACTGTTTAGCTCTGCTGAAGTCAGTGTTCCATGAGTGTGCACACTGCTGTCTTCACAGATGCAGATAAACATTTTCTACAATGATCATTTAAAAAAAAAAAAATTCCTGCATGGCAATGATTTGGGGGGTTGGTTGTTGTTTGTTTTTTTGTTTGTTTTTTTAATTTTTTCTCCCCTTCCTGAAATGTAGTGGCTGCAGTTGGTATGTTAGTAAGTGCAGAAGGTCACCCAGGCAGGGAAACTGGAGGGACAAGATAAGCAAAAGCTGCTGCTCTGAGCAAAGCTGAAGTTGGAGTAACCTTCCCAAAGCCCAGGTTGTTCCAGGGAAAAAAAGAACAGATAACTGTATATAAAGTGATAAAAGCAATTCTGGAAGTGGGGAAACCCTTCCTGGGACATTATGTATCCATTGGGAGTGGGAGACAGTATTAAATACTTCTTAGTTACAATTTTTATTTCCCCCAGTTATATATAGCTCCTGCACTTAGCAGCTTTGAGGTTATATATACTTTCCTGAGTGCCTGAAGCCAGAGTTACAGCTCTGGCTCTGAGATCAGTGCCTGTATGTTGTGCATAGCACAGTGTGTTCTCTTGTATATGTTGTTGTTTGCTTCACTCCTGCTAGGAGAGAACTTGCCTTCTTTGGAGCACTCATGTGGCCAGTGCTCCAAGAAACATAAATGGGTGGTTAGATGTAATGATTCTTTTGTGCTGTAAAATATACCTCCAGAGAGAAAGACTTGCAGTTAGTTACGTGGTTGTGCATAAAGCATCTTCCTCTTTAGCAAACACTGCCTGCAGATGTCTCTGCTTATGTGTGTTGGGCATTTGCTTATGGTGCAGTTTCCCAGGCATACGATGCTCACCTGTGTAGATGTCTGCCTGCTGAGCCCTCTCAAGGAGGAGGGAAGCTGTGAACAGGAACCAGCTCCCACACTCTTCTCTGTAAGGAGAGAAATGAACTACTGAGCTGTGGCACTGTTGGTGACACATTACTGCATTCCCTTCTGGATACTTCAGCATTCAATTTGTTGCAGTCGTGAACCCATCATTCCAAAGGGACAGAGCAGTGAAAAGCTAATAATGCAGCTTAAACTGTCTGCTGACATAACCAATCTACCTCCCTGGTGAAACAGCCCATTAAGTAAAGAGCTTTTTCATTGTTTTTTTATTTTTTGGTTGTTTTTTTGTTTTTTTTTGTAATACAAACAAGATGAACTGTCCTTGTGCTCTGGGTGTTTGACCTTCCTTGTCTGTCTCCACAGTTGTGCTGCCCTTGACAGCTGTGTTCTGCCCACTGTTGACATGTACAAGATCTGGAGGAGCAGTTCTCAACTCCCACTTGATAAATATGGAGTGATCCCTTCTGAGGATAGCTGGTCTTTGTGAGAGGACCAGTGTAGTTTGTGCTCAAGCTGATTTGCAGTTGGCTAACTTAACTGTGAGAAAACCTCCAGAGAAAAGGATTTCTAGACTGAAATGAATGTGTTTAACAGGGTGATTGAAAGATGGGGAGTTAGGGAGCAATCACAAGCCTGAAGCTTAGAGTTTCTCATGCTACTGGGCTACACAGCAGCAGGAACATAAAGATATAAACCTTTGGCCAGGGCTGGAATGTTCTTGTGGGCACAGCACTGTGCAGTAATGGCTCACTCTCTACATGAACTTTGCTTTCTCCCTATTCAGGTGCAACAGACTGTGCAGGATTTGTTTGGCCGTGCTCCTAGCAAAGCAGTTAATCCTGATGAAGCCGTTGCTATTGGTGCAGCTATTCAAGGTGGTGTGTTAGCTGGTGATGTTACTGATGTGCTGCTGCTGGATGTGACTCCCCTCTCCTTAGGGATCGAGACACTGGGGGGTGTCTTCACAAAGCTCATCAACAGGAATACTACCATACCAACCAAGAAGAGCCAGGTACAAAATTAGTGTCCACGTGGTGGGTGTTTTATGGTGGTCTCAGTGCCCAATAAAAGCTGGTTAGAGCATCTCAGCAGACAATCTTCTCAAGGAGAAGAAGCTAAGAAGTCAAAATTGAATGCTGGCCACCTAATAAGTCTGTTACTTATTAGTATGCCCAAAAGAGAAGAATAAACTGAATTGAGTGCCAGGCTATCTCAGGATGTTTGTCCTGCTCAGGATTGCAGTGTGTGTGTGCCATGATGTAATGTCAACACATCATTCTGAAGATGAATTGTGTGGAGACCTTCTGTAACTGAGCACAGCACCTGTTTAATTAGGCCACCTTTCTTGACCTGTATGCCTTGGTGTTTTTTTCCCAGATGTTTTCCTGTGCTTTGGGCCCCTAATAGACTTGGGTGTGATCTGTTCTCTCACTTTGCCTTGTCTGGGTTACTGGTGTGTGCTCTTTCTGATAACACTTGTTCTCTCTGGGGCGTGGGGTTGGGACAGGAGCCTTGCTGCTTCAGGAGACAATGTTCTGGTAGTGTGACTGGCTGCCAGCCACTGGAGACTGTTGCTGGCATAACTTTGGCAGCTTTTGCACATTCAAATGCTTTTAAGATGAAATGCCAGTGAACTTGGCTGTTGCTAGTCTTGGTGCTTTGTTGTTTAGTCAGAGCTCTTTAAGGAATAGGAATGTGAAAGCAAGAATCAATTCACATATTGCAGTTTAATAGCTGTCTAATTACTTTATTTGTCTTCCACAGGTGTTTTCTACTGCTGCGGATGGGCAGACACAAGTGGAGATTAAAGTATGCCAGGGAGAGAGAGAGATGGCCAGTGACAACAAACTTCTTGGCCAGTTCACCTTGGTATGTTGGCCACTCAATATTCATGACCTTAGACTTGACCTTCTTTGAGAAGGTCAAAACTTTCTCTGTGTCAGATTACTCCTTAAGGCAGTGTAAGGAGGGATTTATCCTACAGAAGACGTTTGATGCTATTTGTAGTATTAAAAAAAAAAAAAAGGCAATCTTTTGAAAGTAAAGCCTGATTCTGGACAGCTTTTTAGTGGCAGGGGAACAGCTAGTGTTTAAGATAAAGCTCAGAGTTTCTGAACACCGTTGGGTGATGCAGTGGCTGCTGTAGCTTTAGGGCTAGATTCAGTCACCTAGATGAGCTGTCTCCATTTCTGGGCATGAAGAACTAACGAACTCTGTCGTGTTAGACCTGTGCAGCAGATAATTTGAATGCTGAGCTTTCCTCTAGTGTTGCAAAGATGAGACTTAACCAAATCAAGCTCCTCACTAGTTTGGTCCTTAGGGTGGCTCATTTCCAGCCTATTTTCACTTTTCTACAAGCACCTGTGGAACTGCCCAACCTACTGGAGGACAGTCATGCTCCAGTGACTCACATGTATGCCATGTGGCTGACTAACCTGCTCCCTGCAGGATTGGATTGCTCAGCTATTAGTCAGTGTCAGCCAAGTTCCATCAGGTACAACTGTCTGAACTTGCTGTTGCTAGGAGGATCATTCCAAAAAGAAGGGGATTGCCTACCTTTTGTACTTCTAAATGAAATTGAACTGACGCTATTTTAATATCATAGTCTCGGGGGTAGCCAGTGGAGTATAGTTGTGCAGAACTGAGGAAGGAAAGCCTTATCCTGGAGGTGAAGAGTGCCATGTTTAGCATTAAAGCTGAACTTCGGCCACTTCCAAACTTGGGGGCTACATCTTGTTTCTCTACAGTTGTCCTGGGCAGAAAATCTAGATCATCTTGAATTTAAGTTACTGCTAATTCACCATGCTGATGCCAACAAGTGTTTGAAGGGCTCAGCTCTGAGGCTTAGTTAATATTCAGTTTAACTGGCAAATTACCAAGATGATGTGCCCAGTGCTGGAGCCTCATGCCCTGAGCCTGTGTCTGCTGATGACTAAGCATTTGTCCTTCACAGGTTGGGATTCCTCCAGCCCCACGTGGGGTGCCCCAGATTGAGGTCACTTTTGACATTGATGCTAATGGTATCGTTCATGTGTCAGCCAAGGACAAAGGCACTGGACGTGAACAGCAAAGTAAGTGCTCTGGCTGCTCTGTAGGGCTGAGAAGGAGGGGTGTGGAGCAGTATTACTGTGCCTTAAGGGGGACAGAAGTTGGAGTTTGGGAATCCTGCACCTTGTTCCTGTGCTGTGCTCCAGGGTGCACTGCTCCTCTCAGAGTATTGTCTGCTTACACAGAGGCTGCTGAGCCTGCCTGCCAACATGGAAGTGCCAGCTTCTAAGGGAGAAATCTGGTAAACTAAAGCTGTTCTGTAACCCTGTTTTGTTTCTCATTGCTGTGTTACAAGTATCTTGAAATTTGGGCATATTGAAGCAGCAGGTATTTTGAGTAACCACCTCATGCCTTTTCATTCATTTAGGCTGGAACCATCTCTAAATAGCAGGGGGCTTGGTGGCTTCAGGCTGTCAGTATGTTGCATTCTGAGTGCAGTGGAATGTTAGGCCTGATGTTCTAGGGTAGTTAGTGACCTGGCTGACCTTCTGATGCCCTAATTTGGGATTAGAAAATGAATTTGAAGCACTGATAGATTCCTCTGGTACAAAATAGATTTCTTCGTGCTTCTGACTGGGAAGGCTCCATACTGTCCTGCAATTGTTTTTGGAGGAAATAAATTACTTAAGTGAACAAATGCGTGCCTCCAGTTAAGAAAAATGCAGTTAATTCTACTGGCACTGTGAAGGTGTTTGTTCTTAATCATGCTGCTTGGTTTTGGGTCTAAATTTGTTTCCAAAAACATACTGTGTGCTACTTTGATTTCCTTGTGCACTTTTCTATGTGTGGCAGCTTTCTAGCTCTGAATAAATGTCTCCTGATACTTTTTAGCTGCCTTTCTGTATGCGGTGTGGTTCTAATTAAAAAGCTGAACTCCTTATCTCACGTATCTGAAAGACACACATGTATACTTGTTTAGGGTTTAGTGGTTTTTTTACTGTTGGCAAAAATGATATAGGAAACTTTGGGTCTTGAAGTATCTTTTTCTTGACTCCACAATACTCGGGATCTTGGTCTTCTCTTTCCCAATGAAATAATGCTTTTCTGCAGAAAAGCATTAGCTTATGTCCGGACTGTACTCTGCAGCATAGATGGAGAAAAACAGGGGACTTAGAGAAACCAGTCTATAGAATCATGCCATGCTCGCTTATTAAGGGCAGCATGAGGAGCTAGCTGGGTAGGAATGTTGTCTTACCTCACAGCCTGAGTTGATTTCCAGCAGTGAAAAGAAACTGTATGAAAGTGATTTCTGGATTATTTGTTCTGTTTTTTTTTTTTTTTCTGGAGTTTTGGTTTTTAACTTACTAGAATGCCCCTTGAGTCTGCAGGCTTCTTGTACACATTTACTTTCCAGAAGTAAGAAGAAGTGGAGAACAGACAAGGTGACTTGCAAAGCACTGGTCAGGAAGTGTCTAGCAAAGCTGGAGAGCATGGATCTAAGATGACAGGGTTTTATCTTGCTGGCTGCATCACTGCCACTTCAAAGGCTGGCTGTTTTTTGTACTGCCCACGGAGCCTTCAAAGGTGCAGAGTCCCATAGCAAGGCAGCTGCCATTGAGAGGGTTTGGGAAATGATAATCTCCTTTGTTCAAAGATGAGAGTGCATTCTTTATTAATGTTACTTCTCTCATGCAGTTGTTATCCAGTCTTCTGGTGGCCTTAGCAAAGATGAAATTGAGAACATGGTGAAGAATGCAGAGAAATATGCAGAGGAAGACAGACGAAGAAAGGTAAAGTGATTGCTACAGTATCTTGCAGTTAGTAGTTTACCCACTGGTTATTGCCATTATGTGCTATCAACTGTCACCACCTTGAAAGAACCCCTAGGTTCTGATCTGCAGTCTTGAGCTGTTAGCTTGTACAGTTATTTAGATATGTGCTTGCTTATATTCAGTTGACCCTCTGAAGTTGCAAGAAAAGCTGCACAGGGGGTCATTTGGATTCGGTTTGGGTGACCAGCCCCATAAAATTAGTATTTAATTCCTTCCTGAAAAGTTACTGGGATATGGAGGCAGCAGTAAGCAAACTCACTTGTGTACAGCTTTGCAGCTGTAGCTAATGCTTTCTGTCATCAGTGTGCTTTACTGTCCAGCTGCCTGTTATCTTGGCTGCTTTTCTGAAGTTAGCCTACTGCAGCCAGGTTCTCACAGCATTCTGCTTAAATGGAAGCAGTCCCTTCCAATGTGAGCCATTCTGTGATTCTGACAAGGCCTTTGATATGGTCTCACATCACAGTCTTATCTCTAAATTGGAAAGATATGAATTCCACGGCTGGATTATTCAGTGGATAAAGAATGGGTTGGATGGTCACAGCCAGAGGGTTGTTGTCAGTGGGTCTTTGTCCAAGTGGAGGCCAGTTGCAAGTGATGGCCTCTAGGGACTTGTCTTGAGGCCAGTCACATTTTTAACAGTGATGGGATTAAGTGCACCCTCAGCAAGTTTACTGATGACAGGTAGCCGAGGGGTGCAGAGCAGGGAGGTGACTATCCCTTTCTATTTTCTCCTTACAAGCACCTGCAGTGCTGCATCCAGGTCAGGCACCCAGCACAATAAAGATGTGGAGTTGTTGGATGGGGTCCAGAGGAGGCCACAAGGGTGCTAGAAGGTGTGGAGTGCCTCTCTTATGAAGAAAGGCTGAGGCAGCTGGGGTTGTTCAGCCTGGAGAAGAGAAGGCTCAGGGGAGATGTCAGTTCAGCACTTGAAGGGAGCTTACAAGCAGGAGGGAAACCAGCTTTTTACACAGTAAGACAAGGGGGAATGGTTTTAAAGTGAAAGAGGGGAGGATTAGATAGGAGGAAATTCTTTACTTAGAGGGTGGTAAGACATTGTCACAGACAACACAGAGAGCTGTGGGTGTCCCATCCCTGGAAGTGCATGAGGCCAGGCTGCAGGTGGCGCTGAGTAATCTGGTCTGTTGGGGTGCAACCAGCCCATGGCAGGGTTTGGGGCTGAGTGATCTTTAAGGTCCCTTCCAACTCAAGCCATTCTGTGATTCTTTGGAGTTTATTTTAAAGTTTAATTTATAGAACCTGCTAGTCAAAGCTGCACCACGTCCTCTTCCTTTTTAAGTGGGAAGTTGCTTTCTGTAGTCCTTCAGGTCTTGCTGTCTGGCATCTTGGAGGTGTTATTCATCTGAGTACAGTGTTTGCCCTCGATGCACATGAAGCCATGAGGAGATGTTTGAAAGCCTCGCTGACTTTGTCAGAAAGGACTGGCACTGACTGACTGACACTTGCCATGGCTGAGTGGCTGAACCTGGGACTATTAATAGGATTAGTGGTTGGAACTAATTGGTTTAATGAGAGTGGGACTACTGAATTACACTTCTGAATACAGAGCATTGATTTTAGACAGGCATGGGGAAGGCCTGACCAGAGATATGGCACCAGCCTACGTGTAGTGATTGCTGAAGCTGGCACACTGAATTTACTGCCTTGTGTACTCCTACTCTGTATAACCTGTCTCAAATGTTCCCACAGCCCTATAAATCTTACCTGTGGTAAGTGAAGAGATCAGAAGAGAACTAAAAGAGAAAATGCGTGGAATAAATCCACGTGAAGTAGCATTTCCATGCCTCAAAAGCTCTAGGTCCACGAAAGATTGGCATATCAGTGCCTTTAGGTTAGATGCAGAACATTTAAAAAGACTTTGGTCTGGAAATCCTACTGTTTAAATAACTGCATCATTGCCAGGGAATGTGGATAGTGGCAGAGAACTTGAAGAGACTGCTGGAATTTTCTGTTGTACTTTGACCTTAAATCACAGAATAAGCTCTTCCCTATTGTAGTCAAAGTGGGAGTCATCTCTGTCTACTGAGCTATCACATGGGGTGATTGTTGCTTTCTTCACTAACACTACTGTCTCTTTTCATGGCTTGCATAACTGTAATTGTCAAAATTCCATGCTTTGCTGGACTTAACACCCTGCTGTAAACTCTGACATCCCGTGAAGAGCAAAAAATATAGAATAGAAATTATTTTTTCATGAGCTTTCCTCAGCCACCTAAGCATATCATCACATCCTCGTTCAGGTAGATTACTCGTGGAGATGAAGAAGGCTGGGTGTCCTGAAGTCTGTTAATGATGCCAACAGTTGGATCAAACTGTACTTTAGGACTACCACTCTTCTTCAGTTAGTGCCCTGTCTAGTGCCCAGGGAAGCATCAATACAACAACCCAGTGTTTGAAGTTGTCTCTAGTGCCCTTGTTGATGAATAAGCTTAAGAGTATTCTCAGACAGCTCTGTGGCTTTCTGAATGAGCAGAACGTAGAACTGTGCTGTTACTGCTTTTGCTCACCCTTTCAGTGTGCTGATAGCAGTGCTTTGTTGGTTGCTTCTAGGGAAGTGGGACTTGCTGGGTATCAGAGAGTAAGAACTGTGGCTACCTTGCCTTGTTTAGACTGCTTGTTGGGCCTTGGTGGTGCTAGGATACACCTAGAAATGGCTTATTTGCAGTTCATTTCTGTACCTTGCTGTGAAGAAGGACTGTGGGTGGGAGCTAGAATGGAGTTAGGCAGCTTGGGAAAACAAATATTAACAGCTAGATCATATGTATGTAGCTTGTAGCACCAGTGCTGTGTGCAGTAGGCCCTTATGAGTTCTCTTACCCAGGAACGTGTGGAAGCTGTAAACCTGGCTGAAGGCATCATCCATGATACAGAGTCTAAGATGGAGGAATTCAAGGATCAGCTGCCAGCAGATGAGGTAGGTAGTTTCTGTTACCTTAGAAGTAAAGGAGGTAAGATACTTCACCACATCTTTGCTCAAAATCTCACTTCATTTATAGCTGACTCTCACCAGTGGCTCCAGCTCTGTGTGTTGCTAGTCTGCATGAAGGCAGCACAGACACTGACTTCCAAGGTTTCCCACTCTAGTGGGATGGGTGTGGCCAGGAGGATGTGAAAGCATACTGATGTGGCTTAAATGATGGCAGATATCTTATTTCAAAGTGTGAATTCAGTGGAAGTGGAAATCTAAGAGCCTGAGAAGCTGTTAATCCAAGATTTCTGCATGAATTGTCCTTGGTATGGCCTTGTGGTGCTTTGATAAGCACTGTGCTGTGGCCTGTATGAGAGCACTGCTCAAAAGCTGTGCCTGCCTGTGCTCTGCAGAGGGACAAAGGAGGGTTGCTCTGCAGTCCTGGTGGTCTCAGTAGTGTGAATGCAGCACCTGAGAACTGGAAAGCAATGAAAATTCTTGTATTCACTTAGCTCCATTTTTTTCTGTCTTTTGGAATGAAGTGGGTATTCACTGTCGAAGGAGCACTTCTAATAACATTCCAGGTGGCAGTTTAATTTCCATGTTATGATCCATGCTATGAATTTCAAAAGCCAAGTTTAAAACAGATTGTGCAGTCTTCAAGTTAAAGACTCTTGGAAAAAGAATAAAAGGGCACTGTGAGGTGTCTGAGAAAATGAGGTTATAGTTTGGTTAAGTAGCCTCTGATCACTGCAAACTGTTTTGTCTCAGATCCTCTGGGATTAAGTTTTTCTCTCCTGCGAGGGAAAACTCCAGCACTTATATCTGTGTTCCCTGCAAGCACTGTTCCCAGTGATGGTTTTTGGGAGGGAAAACCAAGGGAAAGCAAGTAGCAGTGCTTGAAAGAAGCCCAGCATGATCTGGGTAGAGATAGCAGCCTGGCACAGACCTCAGTTGCCTTCCCAATCCCATGGGTCTGAATGAGGAGAACTCTGCCCACGTTCTCACTGCAAGCAGTGCTGAGCAAGCACTGCTGGCACAGCTGTCCCCCAGTAACCTCACTTCCCAAGCCTGCCTCGCCAGCAGCGTGCCAGCCTGACAGGGAGATGCCAGACTGTGTGGAGGGTTTGACAGATGGCTACAGGGGCTGGGATGAGACCGTATTGCTTTTGTTTGCCTCTCTGCTCCTCCCACGTGTAACAAAGGGATTAAACAGGGTTGTGAGCAGCATTACTTGTTGGCTTTCCAACAGAACCTTAAATATAGATGAAAATCGGTTTTCTTTTCCCTTTACCCTGGCTCTGGGGCAACCAACTGGCTGGTGAGGTGTGCCAGGTAGAGCACGTTCCTCCTTGGCAGGGTGCTCAGTCTCTGCAGTGCTGAAACTGCAAACAGGGGGACCGATTAATGCCAACTGTGGTGCATTTAGTGAGGTGGACAGGTGCCCATTGGGAACTGAGCACAGTTCTAGTCCCTGCAGACCATATGGCTCCAATTTGAGACTAACTTCACAGCTTTTGACTAAAAAAAAAAAAAAGGTATCTTTTCTGTGGCCACTAGGTGGGTGAAATGACTGGACTGGGATGCTGGGTGAACAGTGTGCAGTGCTGCATCATGTTCCTCTGATTTCTTTGCAGTGCAACAAATTGAAGGAAGAAATTGCTAAAATGAGAGAACTTCTGGCTCGTAAAGACACTGAAACAGGAGAAAATATTAGGCAGGCAGCAACCAGTCTGCAGCAGGCTTCCTTGAAACTCTTTGAAATGGCATACAAGAAGGTAGGTTTGCAGTCATTTGTGTTTTATAGTGCTTGGATGTGGAGGGGTGAGTCATGCCACCAAACATCTAGGCAGGGGCTGTGCTGGAGGTAATGCTGTGTCAGTGCAGCTCCCTTTGAGTGACAGCTTGCTAAAGGGGCAGCTGTAGGAAGTCAGAGCAGAAAGCAGCCTGCAATCCTGGCCATCCTGCTGTAGGTAGGCTGCCTCACAGATTGTGTTACATTACTGTATAGCATTGTATAGGAAGGTGCTGGAAGCTGTTAATAAGGAGCACTGGGAACAGATGGATCTTTTCTCTATATGTGTAGAAGATACCTAAAGTAGTAAAGTGATGCTTGGAATATTTTAAATGATTGTGTAACAGGTTTCTTGGTCAGTCTGCCTAAAATCCCTGTAATAGGCAACTGGGATTTTTTTTCTCAGTGAAGGGCCAGCCTGTTTGAGCCCCTCTTGGCAGATGTACTTAACCTGTCCAAGGGATATTTATCAGAATGGAAATGGCACTCACTGCCCAGGCAACCTTGGCGGAGCTAAGCTGTCCTTTCTGTGGAAAGCTGCTTTTCTGATGTCAAACTGGAGCTGTGGAGTGCTGCAGTGTAAGCTTGTTACGTCCACCGGGAAAGTGTAATTAATAGAAAGATGATTTCCTTCCTGTTGGTAGTAGTCATGCAGAGATAAAGATGGCTTCCATTCTCCAATGAACAATTAGCTTTTTCTTTGAAGAAAAGTTGAAGAAACCTTGTGGGTCCATAACTAACCAAAGCAGCTAGTTTGGAAAAAATGGCTGGGAGAAGCATATTGTTGTTACTGTAACTAATAAGCTAACTCTATCACAGATGGCCTCGGAACGAGAGAGTTCTGGAAGTTCAGGAGATCAGAAGGAAGAGAAGCAATAAGAAGTCTGTCTTACCTTGATGAGAGTACAAAGAAGAGGTGGATATTCTTGGTGCTTGGGAGAGAAGGGACCTTCCTGAGCAGAAATGGGCAGAATTCAGACTTACTGTGTTTTTGCAGTATTCTATATATAAAATTCTTAAATGTATAAACTTAGTGATGTGTCTGCTAGATAAATTGTCACATGATGAAAGTTAATTCATGCAAGATGAAGTTCTAAGTGTTTGGCCCTGTGGTATTCAACTGAGGCTCATGGGGACTTGCTAAGCATTTAATTCTGATACTTGACACAATGGTGTGCTACATCTGATATCAAAGTTTGGAAACCATGTTATTAAATCAGAAGGTGGAGATTGAAATTCTGGTGGATCCTCCTTGTGGATCTGAGTACTTGTGAACAGGTAATAAAGCCTGCAAACAATGCAGTGATAAGGCTGGTTATGTTGCTAGAGAATATACAGATCTGCAGCTAGGTTAGCACCCTCATTCTGACAGAGATGGGTTACTTCAAATGTAGTTGTAACACTTCTTACAGAAGAGGCCATGTGGAAGTTGCATACTTTACTTGTCTGAGCCTTCTGCTCCATCCTGTGTCTGTTCTTTGCTTATGGCAAAACAATTTCCTGGATAATAAAACTGTTATTGGATCCATTCTGGATTTTTTTTAAATAAAAGCAGAAATGTATCCAACGTGGAGTTCTTAGTATCCTGGCCTTTGGTGGAAAATATGAGTCTGCTAGCTGCCCAACAGCCTCTATGCAAGGGCAGTGACCAGCTACAGCACCAGTGGGTTTCTGGAATTTGTGCTTGATTTGAGCGTGGAAGGAATGCACTTGGTGTGAGATTTGGGTCCATCCTGTCTGTGAGTCACTGCTGCTGCCCTCACATGAGATGACTGGAAGTCCTGGTGTGATCTGTGGTGGATTGTCCTGGCACTCTGTGCTTGGGCTCAGTCTGCTGAAACAGGCTGTAGACTGAAAACAGCAGTTGCCCACTGCTGCTTCTCACAACCAGAGTTTTCCCCTTGATACGCCGCCTCCTTGTCCCATTACGTGGTCACCTCTCTTTGTTGCACTTTTTCCTTTTCTGTCCCCATGTGTGCAACCTTCTGGAAAGAAAAAAAGCAACACTTGTAGCTGCCTTTATCTGACAGCTCAGATGTGTAGGTGGGAGGAAAACATTTCATCCTAGGCAGTTTCCTAATTAGAGAAGCTATTAGAGAAGGCTGTAAGTACTGATAAAGTAAGCCTCCTTTTCCTTTCAGCTGTGGACTGCTAGGGATCAAGACTGTTTACTTCAGACACTGATCTCCCAGCAGTCCTAACAAGAAAGCCTGGAAATAACTTCCACTCCAAAATGGACACTGATCGAGCTCGGTGAAGCTTCTCTCTTGTTGCCACTTCAAAGAGTAGTGAGTAGCTGACTGTGAAGTGAGAAGGACCTTAGAGCATTTTAGTTTGCCTTAAAAGAAGGTGAGGGAGGAGCTTGGTGCAGCTGGGGGAAGAGGTGATGTTACGTGCCCAGGCTGCAGTGTGCTGTGCTTTGAGGGAGATGGGCTAGGGTGGCTGTGCTGTGCCCACTGAGGTGGGCAGTCAGCTTACGTGTGTGAAAATCCTGCTGCAAAGGCAGGGCAGCCCAGGACAAGGAGTTGTGGATGCTCCATCCCTGCAGGCACTCAAGGCCAGGCTGGATGTGGCTCTGGGCAGCCTGGTCTGCTGGTTGGCGACCTGCACATAGCAGGGGGTTGGAGCTGGATGAGCAGTGTGGTCCTTTTCAACCCAGGCCATTCTGTGATGACAGCCCTGCTGCTGCTCATAAGCTCTTACTTCAGTTCTGAGCCTGTGGTGCCACCAGGGCAAAGGCAGCAGGTCAGCATCTTACAGCCTCCAGGCTCCTGAATCATCGAGCAGAACTGGCCTTCTTGAATGAATTCTCCTTGTCACAGCTTAAACACACCTCTCGTTTACGTTCTTTATTTTTTAACGTTCTTAGCCTCCTCTAGGAGCTTGAATTGTTGAACTGGGGAAAGCAAAGTTAAAGCAGGCGATGCGTGCTGTGCTGAGAACAGCTGGCAGGGCGGCAGGAGCCGCAGCAGCCCGTGGGCTGAGGGCTTCGCTGCTCCCCCCGCTGTCAGCGCACACAGATGTGCGCGGTGCCGGCGCCGCAGGTCCGCGTGGCCTGTTGGTCTGCGTACGGCAGTAGGATTTACTGGTTCTCGGGGGGTGGGGAGGGCGTCTGGGCAGCCTTTGCTCCCCGCAGCCGGGGGACGGCAGCGCTCAGTGCCGTGAGCTGCGCTGTGGGATCGGGTTGGTGGCGGAGCTCCGCGACAGGGCGGTGCGCGCGGCCCGGAGCGGAACGAGCCTCGGGCGCTGCTCCACACCGGGCTGGGCGCTCCCGTCGGAGCCGGCTGGGACGCGGTGATCCCTTCCAAGCCGGCACGCTCCCGAGGGGTAACGCAGCGCCTTCCCTATGGGCCCCGGCTCCGACGGCCGCCGCTGTCGTCCGCGTGGAACCGCAGCGCCCCACGCCGTGCCACGCCGTGCCACGCCGCTCCCTCCCGGCGCGGCCCCTTTAAGAGCGCCCGCGGTCGACCCCGCCGTTCTCGCGAGACCGCCGCTGAGCACGCCCCGCCTCGCCGGGAAGGTCCGCGAACTACGCGTCCCATAACCCCCCGCGCGGCCCGTCGACCAGTAGCGACGCGCCCCGCTCCCGCGCGGGAGGGGTGGGCGGGCTGGCGCCCCCCGCCCCGGTCCCCCGGAAGTGATGTCACAGGCCCCATGTGAGCCGATTGCAACACATGCAGCGCGGCGAGGGGGAGCGCGAGCAGCCGGTGTCCGACGTCAGCGCCGCCGCCAGCCGCGCGCCGCCGGGGGGGAGCGGGCCTGAGGTGAGGGCGCGGCGGGGCCCGGGCCGGGCGGGGCGGCGGGACCGGGTGGGGCCGAGCCGGGGCTAACCGCTGTGCGTGTGTGCCGCCGCGCCGCTGCAGGCCGCCGCAGCCGGAGGAGGAGGAGGAGGAGGAGGAGGAGGAGGAGGAGGAGGAGGAGGGAGAAGATGGCGGACGATCCCAGCGCTGCCGACCGCAACGTGGAGATCTGGAAGATCAAGAAGCTCATCAAGAGCCTGGAGGCGGCCCGCGGGTGAGCGGCGGGGTCCGGGGGGCGGCGGGAGGCGGGGCTGGGCCCTCAGCTCCGCTGCCAGGCGGTGGGGCCGTGGACGAGAGTAACCGCGGGGCGGGAGGGAACGGCCGGACCGGGAGCGCGTGGGGCGGGGAGCGGGCGGCGTTCCGCGGGGAGCCGGGCCTCGCCGGGCCTCACCGTGCCCTCCGGCCCCGGCAGCGCTGCCGGCAGGTGGCCGGGCGGAGGGAGGGAGGAGAGGCCCCGCAGCGCGGCCGCCCTGTGCTGCTGCCGCTGCCGGGAGAGCTGGGCCCGGGCGCGGCGGAAGAGCCCCGTGGCCCCGCAGGGCGGGCAGCCCTCTTTGTTGGTCCTCTCCTCTCGCCTACGCTTTGCCGGTCTTTTCGCTCCTCCTTCTCTTTCCTCGTGGAAGTCCTTTGCTCCTTTTCCCGCGAAGTAAGCTTTTCCAAGAGGCTGAGTGTGAAGGCTGTGCCATCCTACAAGTTGGCGTTGCGCTTTAATGCCGTTCTTTCCCTAGAAGTAAAAGTGCTGGCTGTTCCCGCGGTGTGCCCCGTGTCAGAGAGGGCATGGGCCTGTCTGTGTGGGGCAGTGGGCAGTGGCTCTGTGTACGGGTCAGGAATTGCTTGGACTTCAGTTATTGCAGGAAATGTAGGCATCAGAGCTGTAAAAAAGCGAGAAAGGTATGTGCTTCAGTAAAGTAAAAATGAAGGGCAATTCCTTAGCTACCCTTACGGCTGCAGTTTCATAGGCTGCTCTGAAATGGTGTTAAGCCAATGGGGGCACTGCTGCCATCCTGCTCAGGGCACCCTTCCCAGTGGTGCCTCCCTTTGAGCGGCTCCAGGCCAAGATGCCCAACTCTTAGTGCTGGTGGAGTGGGCTGGGGAACCATTCAGCTGGAAGCTAACTGAGAGAAGAGGGAAAGGGGTGGAGAACCTGAGCCAGATCTCCATTAGTTTGTATTTTTAATCTGACTTGTGATGTAGCCATGTAAGGGTTGGGGTGTGGGAGAAGAGAATGTGGAGCTGGGGCTGTCCTTGTCTCCTCCAGAGTCGTCTTTGGCTGCCTGAGCTGATCACTCAGCTGTGTCTTCATGCATTGTTGACAGCATGTGTTGTGCTGGCAGGGGCATCCCAGCGAGCACAGGAGACTGAGGACAGCTCTTGCCCTGAAGCTGGAAGGACTCAGGCAGCTACAGGCACCTGCTGCAGTTTGTGAAGACCCTTCTGCTCCTTGTATAGTGCTGAGGGAGGCTGGGCTGTGTCTGGAAAGTGTTATCTTTCTAATTCTAACTGCAAGCAAAAGCATGTCTGCATTGAACAATAGTTCTTGGTTTACTCATTGTTGGGAATAGATGGATCTTGAAGAGGCCAAGGTTAGAATTGAGAACTCCTGGAAAAGGTGAGGTGGGAGGGGCAGTTTGGAGTGGGTGATCCCCTGAGTCTGGGGCAGCTGCCCAGCTGTCCTCCCCCACCCATCTGTGTTTCCTCTTCATGTTCAAGATGCTACAAGTGCAGTAAAATGCATGTAGGGGTTTTAGGTGAGCCCTCTAGTCCAGCATATCTATTAGATGTTGTGATACTCTTGTTCCTTCACGTAACCTGTGCTAGCTGCTAAACCACCTGGCAAAGGCTGCTGATGCTAGCAGTCCTTGCTGTAAGCAGGATTATGCTGGTTACATGTAAATGCATGTTCTGCTTCCAGGGAGTCCCAGCTAAAATTATCCTTCTCTCTTTGGGTCCAGTAAGGGGAAGAGATGCTGTAGCTCCTACTAGAAGCATTAGGCTCGCTGGCACAAGAGGTGTGAGCCAGCGAAACAGGCTTTTCCTGCCTTTGGGAGAGTCACTTCCTCTTCCTGCCAAGTAGGAAGACCTGTTCTAGGGTGGGTTAGGGGGCAAAGCCTTTAAGTAGAATGATGTGGAAGCCAGGACTCCTTGGTTTCTCCACCTTCCCTTACTCATGTACTCCTTCCTAATAGTGACCCAGCAGCTGTGTCCCAGTTTCATGCACTGCTTGTTCCTGCAGTGGATCAAAGGGACGGGAAATAGAGAAAGCTGGAGCTGGGCATTCAGGCTGTGGGTGGCAGCTGGGCACTTCTGCTGTTTTCCAGCTGTTTCTATAAAGTCTTGATAAAATGTGTGGAGTTCTACCAGAATGTTAAGGAAGCACAAGAACAAGGAAATGCTTTTATCATGCCTGGGATAATTGAGGTAAGTGGCAGTGTGTGGCCAGAAAATGAGGCGAGAAGATTAGAGCTTCAGCTTTACCAGAAGCTCATCAGCTGGAGGGCAGTGAGGGGAAAGCTGCTGCTTGAATGTTAAGGTAGCATCCTAGCAAGAATGTCCTGTTATTTTTTTCAAGCTCTGCTCTTCTCTGGAGAGCTGGTGTTATCAATGATCTCTGGTTAGCAAGAGCCTGGCAAAAACAAACATAAAAACCAACACCCCTCCAAACCTACCCCCAAACCCTCTCTCTGCTTGCAGGGAATAGGTGATACATTTGGTATCTTGTTTCTGAAAAC